TATAAAAAATTAATAAAAGTTTTTTTATTGGGTGTTTTTTTGGTTGGGTGAAAAAGTTGCACCAAAAGAAAATACAACCACTACACTTCATGGCAAAGAGACTAGTGAAGATGTTTATCAGTCATTTATGAAATCAGTTTTGGAAGGGGGATTAGCCACGGAATCTTCATTGGAATTGTCATTTGATTTAAAACCTGAAGACATTAAAACGAAAGATCTGTCTGAAGGTGAGGAGGTCGAAGAAGAGGATGAGAATGAAAGTGAAGGTGATGGCGAGAAAGAAGATGAAAATAACGAATCAATTAAAATTGAAAGTAAAAATGAAGATGAAGGCGAGAATGAAGATGAAAACGACGAATCAATCAAGATTGAAAGTAAAAATGAAGATGAAGGCGAGAAAGAAGAGAAAGAAGATGAAAGTAAAGATGTTGAGATTAATAATGGTTAGTGGAAAATATTATTTAAAGCATTCACAAACTTTTAAATTTTGTCCATCTTTACTAATTAAATAAAATTATATATTTCACTAAATAATATTAATCAATCAATAAATAAGAAACAAAACCACCACCACCATCATCTAATGATTTATCAGAGATAGAATCTGAAAATAAAGAAATAAATAATAATAAGATTGATGATCAAAATGATTGAATGAAATAAGAAAGAGGGAGGGGGAGAAATATTGTAAATTTATTATATTATATTATATTATATTTTTGTCAAATATTAATTATACAACTATTATTATTATTCATTATTTTAGAAAAGAGAATAAATAAATATTTAAGTCTTTATATATGTTGTGCGTGAAAATGAAATCTACGTGAATTTGCAATTCACATATGTGAAATTCAAATTAGCCAATCAGAATTTCATATCCAAACACCCACCCAAAATTTCAATTATAAATTTCGATTTCACATAGTTTCAATTTCACATACAACATATATATAGTATATAGTATATAATTTATTATTATTGAAATATTTATCATCATCTAAAAATAAAATTATTTATGACGATCATTTGAAATTTTAGATCAAATTTTATCATCATTGTAAATAAAAATGTTACAAGCTCAGGGAATCCTTATATTTAAACTCGTTTCAAGTTGGCGAATTCATGAATTGTATTCAAAGAAAAAAGATGCACTTACACCTAATACTGTTGACATAATTGGGAACATTGATAACATTATAGATTTTTTAAAAAATTTTCATAATGTAAAAATAATTATTATTGGTTAGAACGCGTAATTTTATTATTACTTATGAAGAATTACTCGTTCTTTTTTGTTTATTTAGCAACTTGTTAAATGTAATACAGCTAGTGACTGTATTTTTAGATTTCCAAAAGGTGAAAGTTTATTAAAAGATTTAGCGGTATATTTCAATTTTGTAGTTTTTTCTTTAATAATAATAATCTAACAAAGGAATCATTTTATATATTAATAATATTAATATATATCTACAATTCTACACTGGAGTTTAATCAGTTAAATAGGATTTTAATTCTTCACCCTGTTGCATGTCAATTAATTGTAAAATGCGTGTTAGAATTTTCTAAATGCTTGAACAATGTTCCGAATTTTATTCAAGGAAATAACTCAAGAAATTGGTGCGCAGATAGAATTAAAAGTATTATTCAATCTCATAATGATGTAGATGAAATATCAGACAACTTTTCATATTATAATGAAATTGGATTGTATGAATTCCATGGGCTTGTAGTCAAAGAATTTATTACAACAATAAAAGAATTCTTGAAAGTCATAGAGAATTCATCAGTTGAATTACCTGTAAGTTGCCTATCAATGAATATGTAATTTCGCTTTACATGTAAGAATTACTCAAAATAATATTTATCAGTTACATATATATTAAATTTATTAAATTTATTAAATTTATACATATATTAAATTTATTAAATTATTTTATGAATTATTAGGGTTTATATTTAATGGGTAAGGTGAAATGGAAAAAATCTATGATGATGATGCATTTATTTAATGTTTATACCAATACAATAATACAATTTCTTCCAATATACATAACATCCATGAATATTAATATGTATTTACGCTTTACTCTCAAGTCAGGTATGTCTTCACTAAACCAAATTTATTAAATATTACCTCATTAAAAGAAAAAATAGAGACAAATATAAAATAAGAGGAAATTATTATGCATAGAACTATCATGAATTCATTGTTTGAGATAGGTTTATTATCATTACGAAAATATATAATTCAAAGACAAGATCAAGGTCAGTTTTTATTTATTTATTATTTTATTAATTATTAACTAACTATTCTAACTATTATGAGTTTTTCCAACTACTTTTTTAAGTTAAGGAAATTATAATGTTATTATACATGTTAAAGATTCAATTATCTAGCTCTCCGATTTCTTAAATGTAAATTAAAGATAAACAACCTTTCTTTTGAGAATAATTACAAGTTCTTTTTTTTAAAGTGAATGAATGATTTGAATTCAGAATTAAAGAAATATTACAATTTAGAATGTTAGGAATAATCTTTCTTGATAATTTGTGCAAGTTAATTACTTTATGGAAATTATATGACCAATAAATAAAGCTTTCGTCATGTTTTTCTTGTTCCCTTTTTCATTAAAGATTATTAACGAAAGGATCTGCACAGAATTTAGCCAATCAGAATTTCTTTTCATAACGTCGATCATTACAGGGTATTATCCCTGATTGAATTTAGCCAATCAGAATTTCTTCTAGAATTTTTCATAAGAGTCGATCATTACAGTATTTAGTATTTCCAAATTCGGTAAAAACCCTGACTGCACTGTCAGCGATTGTTAATTCCGAGATGCACTGTTGATCAGTGATTACCTACTAATCTAATCCAATTTACTGCGGATCTGATACAATAATAACGTAAGATGTCAAAAACCCAATTGATTAATTTATGTAATGATGCGAGAATTCCATCTCTTTTTACTTTCAAAGAATATGAAAACGGTAACTTGATATGTGTGTGTGTGTGTGTGTTTTTATTTATTTTTACTTTTTGAGTTAAATATCTACTATTAATATATATATATATATAAATATAAGATGATATTGATATATTAAATCAAGCAAGCCAATTTAAAATTAAAGCTGAAGCAGCTCTTTATAAAATTCAAAATGGTATCAATCTTGAATCTGAACTTGATGATGAAACAATATATAATATTATATACGCTTGTTCTTTGTTTATAGCTGAACCATTGTCAAATTTAAATCTTGAAAATCTAAAACAATCAGCTAAATGTAAGTGATGATGGATGATTAAGATTATAATAATTTATATAATTTATTAATTTAACTTTCTATATTAGCAATAATGAATTCGTTAGTTACCTTACAACCAAAAAGATTTATATCAGTTTCACATATGATTCAAATATTCACTCCGATGATATTAGAAAAATTCGTAAAATCAGTATTTATGAAACATCCAGACTTTAAAACAAAAAATAAATCTTTGGCAAAAATGGATGTAGACATTGAATTACTGAGGATTGAAATGTATCAAGCGTCCGGTGTACTTTACTGGTGTGTCACGCAATTTAAAGTAATCATAGCCTTTCGGTCTTTATTGTATTTTTTAAATTATCATAATGTTAACAATATTAATGATAATCATCTTTATTAATAAGCACCCAAATTTAGAAAAAATCATGAATAATGTTATTTCACCGGTATTAATGCTTATAGATGATTATAATTTTAAATTTAAGCTTCGTGGTGTATTATTAATTGATCATTTGATAAAAGAAATAAGTCCAGCAATAATTAAGCGTACAGGTTTAGGAGAAGTTTTTTATGAGGTTTCTCAATCTTTCATAATTTTTTTTATACCTGCTTATAGATATATATATATTTATTTATTATTAATTAACTAATAATAATAATAATAATAAATTATTATTATTATTATAAAAAATTTCTAGGCACTTTTTAAATGTCTTGCTCACCAACTTGAACCTTCAGATTTGGTTTTATTAAAACCTAGTTTTGCCGCCATCCTAAATCTTATCACTTATACAGAACCATCAGGATCTGAGTCAAGATATAAAAAATTGGATAATATATTCAACATATTTGTTGTTAAAGGACTAACAATTAAATATGACAAAATTATATTAAGACAATTTTTGTTACAACAAATTCCTTTTTTTGTAGATGAACTAGGAATTATGACTGTTAAACATTTAAATGTATGGTTTTTTTTTTTTTAATTAAATTTTTCTATAAATTTTACAAAAAATTGATTTTTTTTTATTTTTTTAGGAGCTATTGAAAGAAATTTCAAGTTCGTTGGAAGTTACATTGGAACTTCCTAATATTCGTTTTAAAGATGAAATATTAAGTTTACACATTTCTGGAGCAAAAGCAATAGAAAAAATAATTGTTAAATGTTGGCCAAGGTAAAAAAAAAAATAAATTCATAAATTTATTATTTAATCTATCAATACTAATTGCATTAAATTATATATTTGTTGATTTATTATAAGAATAGCACACTATAAAGGTTTAATATTAAAATCAATAGCATCATCTTGGTGTCAAGTAAAGCATCTTGAAGAGAATGGTAATTATATATATACATATACGCACATAGCTAATATTTTAATTGATATGAAATGGTTTCTTTTTTTAAAAAACTTAGATAATCCTTACAAGGAAAAAATAGAACTATTGAAAAATACATTGCATAAGTCATGTCAGCTTTTAAAATATGCATGTATGGATGATCAGATTGCTTTTAAGGTTCGTTATTATCTCATTATTTTAAATTGATTATATGCGCACACACGCAACCTTTCTAATTTATATCTAACTGAAATAGAGAGATGTTGATGCTTTAAAAAAATTGGATATTAAGATGTTTGGGGATTTATTGAATGATTTATAGAAAGTAATGCGCTTACACTATTTAACCATTGATCATTTGTTATTTGTTTCTAGTGATGATTTTTCCTTTCATCGATTCTTTTGTATGTATGTACTAATTGTATTAAAATTAATATTTCATATTAATATTTCTTGCATAATTATTCATTATTAAGAATAACATATACATACCTTTCAATATTTCTTCATCTACTACTACACACGAAAAGATAACTACCCTGTCGACCAAATAAATAATCAGTTTGTATTGGCAATCAGTTCCATGAAGCTGAAGGAAACAATCAATCCCAAATTGGATTTTGTAAACTTGATGTGGCTTTGTGATAAAAATCACTATTGGAAGTTTATCACTTTTAAGAATTATTGTTGTATTGCTTCTTGAAGAATTCGTAAATTAATTCAGATAATGGATAATGCCTTTTGTCTATTTACCTATAGATCATCAAATAATCATTAAAGCTAAAGTTACAAACGACAAACAAAATAAATATGCTAATTCAAAAATAATTACAAGAAAACCAAATTAACAATTATCTAGTTCTCTTGATTTGTTGATATAAAGAACATTTGTTCAAGTTAATAAAAACAAACACTAAAGAATTATTAAATAGTAATAATAATAAAGTTGCATAATGTCAAAAAAATCATTAAGTAAATTGAATAATGAATGGAATCTATTTTTTTGGTGGGGAGAATTTGGATTTAGAAATTAAACTTTGGTAAAATTTTTAAAGAAAAATGTTTAAGAGCAAGTGGCTATGTGTGTTTGTTTTTTACGCGTTTTGAAATTGTCATTCCGTTGATTAATTGATTGGGGTATAATTGGTAGATATTTTTAGAAATGGCGGGTTGATTCGATAAAAAAATCTAAAATTCATTTTTCTCTTTTTATCTACTACTTTTTAAATAGGAAACTAAAAAAAGTCATTATAAATCTGATAAAATCAGATTTGATTTTTCCATTTAAAAAAAAAACAATAATGTAACACACATTATAAAAATTTTCTAGGGGTCATGTGACGAACACGGGATAAATGTGGCCTGCGAAGAAAAGAATAAACCAAATAACAACGACGGAGTTCAGAATGCTTTATTTGAAAAATAATATTTCGGTGCTATTTGTTCGACATTCAATATATATGTTTCAATATTATTGGTTGGTATAACTTTATTTGTAACTATTACTACATTGTAAATGAGAAGCGCTCATAGAAAGTGGCATTGTGTATCAAGTGGCGCCGATCGCAAGAGTAAAACGTGATGGTTTCGTTTATGGAAATATCACACTGAAACATGCTGTCTTTTAATTGGTCGGAAGTGTACTATAAAAAAGATAAACAAATAAATAAGAAATTAAATTTGTTTGTTTGTTTTGTTTGTTGTGAAATAATTCAATTTCTGATCATTTTCTCTTCTTTTTTCCTTCTATTTTTAGACTATAAAATGCCGATAAATATAAAAAAAATAATAATAATAAATCCAAATTAATAAATACTAAAGATCATTTTTGAAATAGAAGAAGAATAAAGAATACATCAAAAGTTTATTCTTGTAACCGAAAATAAATATTTCCTTTTAATTCACATCCATTCAATTTTGAAAACTATTTAAACAGCTGTTTCTTTTCTTTTCTAGAATTTTTTTTTCACTTGATAAGAAATAAAAATCTCTCGTCTTTAAAATAAATAATATATTTGTTTTCGAAAGTGTATATACGCACATATATACATACATATACATATAAATACATACCTACACGCTATAAATACTTATTTCTTTAAAATCTAAAAAATTTTGAAATGGGAAAAATTAACAAAATTAACAAAATCAAAGGACTCGTCAGATCCTCTAACAATAAAAACAACGAAGACTCATCCATCAATGTTGACATCCCGGCGGAATTGGATCTATATTGGATTCATAATCCGCGCTATTCGGTCACTGAACTGATTTCCACAAAGACCAGCACCAGACCACGACCACCAAATAGGGGTCCACCCCGGCCCCCAAATTCTTTTTTTTTGATGAAGAATTGTTATATGTTGGAGGTTAAAGGCCTGGGGTACAAGTTCCCCATGCCGAAAATTTGTCGACAAGCTCAATTAATCTGGAAAAATCTGCCGTCAACTGTCAAGAAAAAATATGATGAGTTGGCAATAAAAGCAGTGGTAATCCATCAGAACTTGTACCCTGATTACAAGTTCAGCCCCAAACCGCGCCAATCCTTTAAAAATACCTTCGCTCCTCCTGCAAGCAATTGCCACCGAGAAAGTAACAATTCCGTCGGTAACCTAATAACGTTCAGCATAAATTTTTATAATGAACCTCCAGTTTCACCGCCTTTGACACCACCATCACCACCATCACCACCATCACCATCACCACCATCACCACCACCACCACCATCGTCATCACCATCATTATCATCATTACCATCATTATCATCATTACCATCATTATCATCATTACCATCACTATCATCATTACCATCATTACCATCATTATCATCATTACCGTCACTATCATCATTATCATCATTAACATCATCATCATTATCATTATTACCACCATTTTCAAACGACCCTTTTGGATTCAATCCGCAACAATTAATAACAAATCCAAATCTAACACCAGAATCAACATCGTCAACATTGATGCCATCACAATCATCGTCATTTATTTCATATTATGATCCTCTGGAATTATTCTTTTATAATAGTAATAATAATAATTTAGATGGTTTAGATGCGTCTTTTATTAACTATGAAGAAATTTATGACATGTTATTTCGTGGTAACATGTTATTAAATAATATTAATAATAATAGTAGTAGTAGTAGTAATGGGTATGATGGGGATGATGGTAGTTTATTTCAAATCGAAGAAGGAATAGAAGGAATTCAAAGTGATGAATTTTCATTTGAGTCAATCTCGATAGAACGGGAGAACAGAAACCACTAACTTTATTAAATATTATTGTATATATCGTCGTCATCACAAACATTAAATCTGAGATTTATCGGGACTTTTTTTTTATTCGAACGTTAATATTCTAAAAATATCGTGCACGATTTTTAAATTATGTATAAGTTATTATTGTTCTAGAAGATAATTTCTGTTTATTTTTTATTATTTCAAGTTATGAGCATTAAGTTTTATCTTTTTCAATTCCTTCGATTTTATGGATTGTTATATTATTATATTTTATCGGATATTATATTATATATTATGTGTTATTATTATTATCAGAATAAAAAAAAAACATTTTCAATTTTCAAAATTCTAAGATTTGATTTTAATGTAACTAGACATAGGGTGCTTTTGATACAATAAATATCATTTATTTTGCCATTTTTGTTTTATGAAACACAAAAAAAATTTGTGATATGAAAATGAATGCTTTTTTTTTTCTCTCTGATTATTATGCGTTTTTTTTCTTCACAACATAATTTCTGACCCAATCAATATATTTGTAGTATTAAAAAAATTTTATTGATAATTAATTTTCCAAACGAAGGTGGAACAATCACACAATTATTTTTCTTAAAATAATTTTCTTGGTAATGTATGCGCCTCTTTTATAAAAAATGAATTAAATTAATTGAATTGTCATCATTTATCATTTATCATTTATCATTTATCATTAATAATTTTAATCACTATTGTTGTCTATTTATAGATATAATGCGTGTGTGTTTTTGGTGTA